AGTGCCAACCCCAGTTTTCCCCCAGCCTCCGGGCCCCCCTACCCGGCCGGGTGAATCCCTCGCTCCTCTAGCCGCGCTGGGTGGGCCAACACTGTTGCCGGCTGTGCTTGCGCCGGGCAAGCAAAGCCCCCTCTGGCCAGCTCTGCCATGGACTACCAGAAGCCCTACTCGGTGCAGGCCACCGCGGCCATCGCGGCGGTCATCACCTTCCTCATCCTCTTCACCATCTTCGGCAACGCACTGGTCATCCTGGCGGTGTTGACGAGCCGCTCGCTGCGCGCCCCGCAGAACCTGTTCCTGGTGTCCTTGGCCGCCGCGGACATCCTGGTGGCCACGCTCATCATCCCTTTCTCGCTGGCCAACGAGCTGCTGGGCTACTGGTACTTCGGGCAAGCGTGGTGCGAGGTGTACCTGGCTCTCGACGTGCTCTTCTGTACTTCGTCCATCGTGCACCTGTGTGCCATCAGCCTGGACCGCTACTGGGCGGTGAGCCGCGCTCTGGAGTACAACACCAAGCGCACCCCGCGCCGCATCAAGTGCATCATCCTCACCGTGTGGCTCATTGCAGCTGTCATCTCGCTGCCGCCCCTACTCTACAAGGGCGACCGGGGCCCTCAGCCCCGCGGGCGCCCACAATGCCAGCTCAACCAAGAGACCTGGTACATCCTGGCCTCCAGCTTTGCGTCCTTCTTTGCCCCCTGCCTCATCATGATCCTCGTCTACCTGCGTATCTACCTGATTGCTAGACGTAGCCACCACAGAGGTCCCAGGGCCAAGAGGGGTCCTGGGGAGGGTGAATCTAAGCAGCCCTGCCGGGTCCCTGGGGGGACATCGGCCAAACTGCCGACCCTGGCCTCCCACTTGGTTGCTTCTGAAGAAGCCAATGGACTCTCTAAGCCCACTGGGAAGAAGGAGCAGGTAGGGACCCCTGAAGATCCTGGGAACCCAGCCTTGCCACCCAGCTGGCCTGCCCTTCCCCATGCAAACCAGGGTCCAAAGGAAGGTGTTTGTGGGGCATCTCCGGAGGAGGAGGTTGAAGAGGAGGAGGAGGAGGAAGAGGAGGAGTGTGGACCTCAAGCCTTGCCAGTCTCCCCTGCCTCAGCTTGCAGCCCGCCCCTGCACCAGCCACAGGGCTCCCGGGTGTTGGCCACCCTGCGTGGCCAGGTGCTCCTGGGCAGGGGTATGGACGCTGCAGGTGAGAAGTGGTGGCGTCGGCGTCGGCGGGCTCAGCTGACCCGGGAGAAGCGGTTCACCTTTGTGCTGTCTGTGGTCATAGGCGCCTTCATGCTCTGCTGGTTCCCCTTCTTCTTCAGCTACAGTCTGGGTGCCATCTGCCCGAAGCACTGCAAGGTGCCACAAGGCCTTTTCCATTTCTTCTTCTGGATTGGCTACTGCAACAGCTTGCTAAACCCTGTCATCTACACCATCTTCAACCAGGACTTCCGCCGTGCCTTCCGAAGGATCCTTTGCCGCCAGTGGACCCAGACGGCCTGGTGAGCCGCCTGCCTGCTGCCCTCGTGGGGTTGGTGCCAGGTAGCGCCAGGGCCACACTGCCTCCTACCCTGTTATATGTGGTCACCTCCCTGGCGCTGTTTGGTTTCTGCTCAGGTAGTGCAGACCTCATCTTGGGAGCACCCTGGGAGGAACATGGGCAGGGGTGCTGGTCACGGGGTCTATGCTAAGCCTTCCCTTGCTGGCTTGGCTGTGGGGGGACGTCTTCTCCATGCCCTGCCTGAGTGCAGGCAGATAGAGGAGGCCTGGGCCTTCCGGAGTGTGGCAGAGGCCTGGCTTGGACAGAGCCTGGCCTTCCGGAACCCCAGAACCCTGTACACTTCCTCGAGGACCTTGTGGTCCCTGGCAGGCCACTTGCTTGTGGTGTTTTGTTTCTTTTTCATCTTCCTCAGTAAAGAGCAGGAAGCCAGCCTTCCATTCTCCCCAGGAGGCTGAGGAGGAGGCAGAAACAATGATGGCCGTACATTCACATTGAGGACCCGTGGTTTCCATTAGGTGAGGGTTTGTAGGCTGACTCTATCCCTGGGCCCTTCTTCCCCTTCCCCCTGCTTTTGGATGTGTAGCTCCTTTGAAGGCCAAAACTGTGATCTGAGTCCCACCCGGCGCCCCTCTGGAGGCCTGGCCTCTGCCTCAACAGGACATTCCCGATCACTAGCATTCACCCCCTGCAAAATCCAGGGCAACAGTAGCTTGCTGCCTACTTGCTGCAGGGAGATGAAAGGCATTGCACAAAGCTTTGAGCTCCATGGGGGAACCGAGAGACCCAGAAAATGTGATTATTTGGTGATATGAAAATTCCCTGTCTTTGTGTTTACCACCACCTGTCTTCCTATAGATTTTAGTTCTGTGCCGGGGGTGTGAATTCCTACCCCAAACTGGAAGTGGGGAGTGGCAGACAGAACCTCTATTTCAGTTAAAGGATTTCTTTGAGAATGTGTTCTTGTGCCTGCAAAGGTTTGAGTTATTATGCTGCATGACAACCTGACATTTCACCTGCAACACCAAGAGGGTTTTCTGTGGCTTGGGCACCCCTGGGAGGGTTAAGTCTTTTGTCATCAAGAAGGCAAATTGTTTCCTCAAGATAGCTAAAAATACCCACATCCTGGGAATGGGCTGACATGAGAGCCTGTGCCAGGTGACAGAGCCCGCCCCCCGGCGGGATTCTGGGCTGGAGCAGGTGAGCAAGGGCCCTCTGGACGCCTGGGGGAGCCTCAAAGCCAAGTGCCAGGCAGGGCTCTAAGGCCCAAATGGGTCCCGATGATGCATAGCTGATCCCACCTCGGATGGGTGCCATGGGTGTTGGCTGGCCGCCTCCGCCCAGCCATGTGGCTCTCCCCACTGATGGAGCTCCAGGGGCCTCTTCCTCCTCGTTCTCAACCCCCACCCCAGACACTTGAACCCAGAACAGTTTGGAACATGTTTCCCAGTGCTCCCCCGTAAGAGTGCCTGACTTCAAAAGTAAGCCGGTGGGATCTTCACCGGGGGTGGGGTAAGCGGCAGGGACTGTTGGCACTCCGGGGGACCTGGCCAGATGGCGAGGGGTGCTAAGGGTGTTTTCTGGGTTAGAGAGAATGGAGGGGACCAAAAGGAGTCCCTCAGTTTGTTCCTCAGTTTCAGTGTGAGGCCAGGGCATTGCCCTGGGTCAGGGCTGGGTAGGAAGGTGGCCCTGAGGGAGGGGCTGACTTGTGACAGCTACTGACTGGTCTCTGTGCCCCAGGGCACCCCTGATATTGTTGCCTGCTGCCTCCTTATTGTGATATGTAGGTGTTTTTTAAAGGTCTGAGCTATTTTATCAATAAAAGATATTTTGTAATAAGCACGCTGTGTCGTTGTTGCCCAAGGGCTGCCGGCCGTAGTTATTCCTCAGCTACTTGTAGCAGACTTGGCATGGGCCAGATGCCCTGCCCTCCTCCGGGTGTGGCCAGCTGGTACCCACTCATCTGCCTGCTGCTCTGTCCACGAATCACCCCTTACTCCTCATGATAAGACAGTGGGGGTAGAAGTGGCGTGGAGCCTGAGGCTGGCTGCGTGGGGAAGGAGGAGAAGGAGCCTTACCAGAGGAGGTGCCCTTTGGGCTGGAACTCAGGGAAAGAGCAGGAACACCCAGAGGCAAGCTAGGAAGGAGTGTCGGGCAGGGAAACAGCACATGCAAAGGGTGCTGTGTGCTGGATTTGACAGTTTGAGAGTCAGCCGGAAACTGGCCTTGCTGGGCAGCCAGGTGCAGGAGTGGGGCCAGTGGAGGTGATCGGACACCACCCACAGGGAAGAACAGGGAACTCTGTGGAATGTAATCTGCTGTCTCCAGTGAGGGCAGGAGGTGAGTAGAGCTGATTTGCTGAGATTCCGTCACTACGTCTGAGCTGGAGTCTCCTCATTTCCAGATAAAGCACCTGAGGCCCCAAAGCACCCAGTGCACAGGAGCCCAGCCCTCCAGGCCTCCTGATCCACCTCAGTGAGAGCAGCTCAGGCCGGCACAGCAGGTTGGCTGCAGGGCCAGCAGGAGATGGGGTTGGTTAGGGTGGTGCCAGGGAGCGGGGGAGGAAGGAGCAGGGAGGCCCCAGCAGCTGGAGGTGTGGGCCACCCTGCACCTGTACTGTGACCCAGGAGTCACACTTCCAAGGCCACAGCCTTTGCCAGGGACGACTCCATGTGTCCACCAACACTGGTGGACTTGGGGACCTGGAGCTCTGCTGGGACTTAGCAAGAAAGCCAGGCTCTGCCCTGAGGAGCTCCCAGCCCTTCCCACCAGCCTGCACCCACTGCCAAGGCCCTGAGGCCTGATTAGGGCAGATCAGAGTAGTTCATCTGTTCCCCGTCATTGCTTTTCTGGAACTCTGTCTGATTACTTCGCTAGTCATCTAGGCCCGAGCCCTGTTGCCTGAGGGCTTATAAGGGGCGGGGCCCATGGGTCTGGGGGAGGAGCTCCCTCCCAGTCTCCAGATGGTGGCAGAAATGTCCCTGCTGGAGCTGGACCTTTGGCATCTTATTCTGAATATATTAGCTCATTTGAGCCTCGCAACCTTGCTGGGGTGGCAACTTTACAGAAGAGGCAACTGAGGCTGGGTGCCCAAATCACAGCTATGAAATTCAGATGCTAGAAATTGTGGTCCCATCTCTGGCACCAACTTCCATTCGGTGGCCTGGCTGTGTGGGGACTCTGAGCTGCATCTGGGTGGAATTCAGCCGGTGCAGTGCTGTGATTGACTGCTCCTGTCTGTCACTGGCACAAGAGGTCTGAGTTTTACAGGGTTTCCACTCCTGACAGCTCAGCCTGATCACTGCATTTTATTGAAGGAGAGACTGAGGCCTAGAGACAGAGGACTTGCCTTGGACCTCCATCCACGTGGTGGTGGAGCCAGGTCTGGAACCCAGGTTGCCTGATCTGCCCCCCACACCACACCTCTGTACTGAGGGGTTGCAGCCAGACTCAGAGTGACAGGCCCACGTTGAGGAAACACCTGATGAGAGTCCGCGGCAGACCAGGTCAGGAGGGTGGCTTGTCCCGTTACCTAACTCAGTTCTCAGTACCGGAGGAGCAGTCCCGGGCACTTGCCCAGTGCAATGTGCCTGAGCTGGACCCCAGGGCTGCTGGCTCCAGATGGGACCTCCTTCTCAGACACCGCTTCCCGCTGTTCTGTGAGCAGCACCTACTTTTGATTGCACCCTAAGCCCGTTTTAGGGTTAGTGGGTTGGTGAAGTGTGTTCAGAGCAACAGGTAGGGGTGTGGGGGCCCTGTCCTTCCAGGAATTATCCCAGCAAATGCCTGGAGGTAAGGGTGGGGACAGGAGGCAAGCAGGGAGGTGTTGCAGCCTTCTGAGGGTCTGGGAGCACTTCTGGGATGGTCTCTGACCACGGGAGGCACCGATGGAGAAGACAGAGGAGAGGCTGGGTGGGAGGGCTTAGGAAGACCTCGCCCCACTACTGCTCTCACTCTGTAAGAATCTGGGTTCTTAGGTCAGTGGGGACAGCCTTCAAAAGGCGCTGAGGCCCTGCCCCTGCCTCAGGCCAGCTGCGGAGGAATTTGGGGTGCTGGGAATCCCTCTTTGGAGCTTTCTTGAAGGAGGCACCCTGACCCACCTGCTCAGAAGGTACTGTGGCAGGAGGGCCAGCTGACCTGCTAATGAGACGCAAGGTGGAGGGGGGCTTGTGGGTTCATCAGGCCCTTGTTCCCTCCCAATCCTTTGCATGACTTCCATCTTGTGTGTTTGGGGAGTGCTGGAAAGGGGGTTGCCCATCTACCACCTGCAAATGGGGTTGCTTGGCTGGGAAGTGGCATCCGACCCTCGAGTGGTACTGGCCAACCTTTCGCTGCCTGGGTGCTGGCTGGGGCTTCTGCTGCAGGGCCTGGTCCCTGTGTGCAGGAGCACTGGGGTGGGACTTCTGTGCCGCTGAAAATCATGGTGGAGAGGTGGTGGGGAGGCCAGGGTCATCCTTGCTTCTGCCACTACCTGTCTGGCTGCCCCTGGCAGGGCTAGGTCCCCCCTGGGGCCTCAGTGTCCCGTTCTGCCCATGAGAAGCTCCAGCCTGATGTTCCATCTCTGCCCCACCCCAAACCCCCTCCTGGAAGGTCCAGCTGCTGAGATCCCGGGAGGTAATTAGTCATTCCTGAGTCAGGCTCCTGGACAGGACCGGGCTGTTTTCTTCACCACTGACCCTCAGTGCAGAGGCAGGCCCGCTCTGGAGGGACCAATCAGTGTGGGGCCCTCTGAGATGGGCGTGGAGAGAGGGATATGGCAGCTCCGGGTCATTAGGGCCAGGGCCTGCCATGCATCATTAGAGATAAGAGCCACTGTTATCCAGTCTCACAGATGAGGAAACTGAGGCTGAGGGGAGTTGAGGGCCTTGTCTGAGGTCATCCAGAGCCAGGATTACAAATCCACCCAACCTAACCCCAACTGTGTCACTAACTGGCCTCGGGACCCGCCCCGTCAGCATGAGAGCAGGCTCTGAGCCCGCCCAGCCCAGCGAAGCCTCTGACCAGCAGAGACTCGGGCTTGGGGTGACCTCCCTGCCTGTCGGCACCTCCATTAGAGCAGGGCCCAGGCAGGGGTAGGACGTTCCCACCCTCCCAGGCTCTGCTCACTGTTAGCAGGGGAGGCAGGGAGCACACGCTAAAATTAGACTCTGGGATCCTGCATGCTCCGCATCCGTCCGGCGGTGTGGGGAAGGCCGTTGTCAGAAGGCCAGGGCTGGAAGGAGCCTGGATGTCAGCTTGCACCCTCCCCAGGGCTCACTGGCTCTGATCTTCTCACACCCTCCCCAGTCCTTGGCCAAAGGCTCCTGCCCTTGGCTTGGCCCTGTGGTCACCTATTGATGAGCAGTGATTTCAAAGGGAGAGGAAACCCCCTTTTTAATACCCACCATGTCCCCCTGGGATTCCACTGCCCCTTTGTTCCTCTCTTCCCTTCCTCCCTTCCCCTCTCCCGGCCCTTTCCACTTCCAGGTCCTCAATGACCCGCTCCCCCTTCTCTGAGACTCCCCTCTGCCTCCTGCTGGCCCTCTGTTGTGCTTCTCCCTGGGATGGCCCTGGCCCTGCAGGCTTTATGGACCACTGTGGCTACAAGGGGGCAGGAAGGCTGGAGACTGCAAATGAGCCTTTGTCCCTGGCAAGTGGGGGCTATCTGTGACCCAATATCACCCTTTGGGGCCCCGGCCCTTTGCAGGCCAGGTTGGGGAGGTGCTGAGCCTGGCCGAGAGTCCCAGGGTCCTGCCCTTGGTCTCCCTGGGGAGGGGCAGCCCCCTCTGGGCTGGGCCACTCCACTCTCAGAGGACCCAGAACTCAGTTGGACTGGCACCACCTCCCACCCCAGGGAGACCCGGGCTGCTTCCAGAGGAGAAAGGGTTGGGCTGGGGCAGTGTGGAGCCGTGTCCCCGTGACGTCCCGTTCCCACCCCAGCCCAGCCCAGCCACAGCTGTGAGGCCGGGAGCGTGAGAGCTGCCTGTGCCTGCTGCTGGGAGTCCCTGGACACCGGGGTCGGCAGGGGCGAGTGCAGGAGAGGGCTGGGTGGGGGTGTCCTAGGCCACGGGCTCCGCCAGGCCCCTGGGTGTTCTCTGACAGGTGCACTTGACACAGCTATTCCAGCTGCAAATCCTCTCCACCCCCTGCTGGCCTAGCAGCTGGGATTAGAATGGGCACAAGGCTGGCAACTGTTCGAAGGATTTCCCTAGTTGTTTCAGAAGCACGGGCCGGGGTCCTGAGACTGGGGTCATGGTCCCAGCAGGGCCACCAAATTTCTGGATGACCTTGGGCAAATCCCTTCCCCTCCCTGGGTTTCAAATTCCTCATCAGATGAAGGAGTTGGGCTGGGCCATGGTTAAAATGTCCCGGTGCTGCCCCAGGAACCACTGGGCAGGGACAGAGAGGGGAGAGAAAACCGAGTCACCCCTGCCTTTTCCAGCGTATCTGCTTTTCAGGAAACTGCACCTCCCACTGCCCACCAGGATTCCTCCTCTGCCCACCCCAGGCTTACGTAACACCATTAGCCACACCCCTGTCCTCCTCATGACTTCTGTGTCCCAGGGAAATCTAGGTAGTGGGAACCTTAGAAGGGTCACCTTGACAGACATTCATTCATTCCCCCAAGGCAGGCTGGGAGCTAGTGGAACAGGGAAGGGGACCTGTGTGGGGGGTGGGGGCGGGTGGAGGTTGGGGGAGCCAGGGTGTCTGGCAGGAGCCGGCCTGTGCTTGACATTGTGTCTAACATAAGGCTGGAAGGGGGACTCGGGCTGGGGCAACAGTGGAGGAAGTGTGTGAGGTCCTCCTGGAAGGGCAAGCAGT